ATTAAGAGGGAGACCAACAAAAAAAAAAGGAAGAAAAAGAAAAAAGAAGGGGGACTCACCACCATAGTATGAGTGGCTGCTCAGGCGCCGAGCTGACCAGGAGTGAGTTCGGCCCACTCGCTGACCTCCCCCGAGTATGCAGCCTGCTTACTCTTCTTCAGGCTGCACTGGGGGTTCAGGACGGTTTGGCTGCCTTGACCCTCCGAGCTAGAAGGTGTCATCTCCACATTGTGAGTGGAACTCTCGGAGGCCTCGGCGGCAGCTTTGGCAGGATGAGCCCCGGCAGCAGCAGTGTTGGCCTCGGCAACGCTTTCTCTGGCAAGTCTGGTGGGCTTGGCAGCAGGCTCGGTGGGCTTAACGGTAGGTTCTGCCATCACCTCGGGCCCCTTAGGCACAGCCCCCTCTTCCAAGTTGATGACGGGCACGGCTGCCACCTCGGGCCCTGAGGCATAAGTCTGCGGAAGTTGGGGCACGACTGAAGCTTGCGGGGACCCAACGCGCACCTTCTTGGCCACACATTTCTTCCTCTTCATCTGGTGGAAGAGCTTCTGGTTGTCTATTTTCTCCGCTTCCATGGGACCTACAGTGAAACACGACATCAGCAACCCGAAGCAAATATATGAATAGAAAGCCGAAGTGGGGAAAACCTACCCGGGCTCAAGCTCGCTTGGATGAGCTTCTCCTCAGAAGTGAAGTCTTTATAATGCAACCCGAGCTGAGCCAGTGACTGGAGCTCCTTCTTGGTCTTCCCGTCTAGGATGACACCAGGGTCTTAAACAGCTATCCTCCAATCGGTGGGGAAGGGCCACCCCATACTGCTCCAGACTATGAAGTAGTCCCGCTTCCAAGCTGGGACTTTGCTCGGGAGCTTGTGCATGAGTTTGAAACCCGGGCGGGGGACAGGTAATAGGACTGCCTATGCCGGGGGAGAGCGCCCGAAAAGCTCTTCTTTATAGCCAAAATTGTACTGAGAACATCTAAATCTATGGAGAGAGAACGGTCAAAGCAAAGAGAAATGGACCCCACCACATTCCGTATGGAGTTCGGGTGGAGTTGGTCCAGGGTGATGTTAAAGTGTACCAACACCCCAACGATCAACGGGTGAAGAGGAAGTCTGAGCCCGGCTATCAGTTGTTCCCTGAAGATCACGATCTCGTTGGGACCGTGCTCCCATGGGAAGTTACCGGTGGGAAGACTATATGAGTAATCCTTAGGGAGGCGGAACCTCTGTATGAGGTCCTGAAGCCTCTCCGAAGTCATTATGGAAGGCTCGAACTGATCTGGTTCCTAACCTCGGTGGGAGGTGGACGCCAGATGACCCGAAGCCACCCGTACTTCGAATGGCTGGGCAACAGAGGAGACACCCCGAGCCGAGGTACCTACCTCGGGCTCGTCGATGAGACTGTCTACACTAGACAACATACCGAATTAAAAGAAAGAAACAAACTAGAAGGGAAAAGGAAGCTCGGGAGGACTCACCAAAGAAACGCAACCGGACTGGAAGAACGGAACGAACTGGAGGACCCGAGCTAAGAGACCTTTGGCACGAGCTCAAACGCTAACGATGAAAGCTTTGTGGCGAAGAAAATGGCCAAGGGACCCCCTATTTATAGCCGCAACTGCGGGTTCATCGAGGCAAAAATGATTTAGCGCGTTTTTGACGTCCGCGAAGTCCAAGTCACGTGAAGTCCGCGCGTAATCTGGACGCGACTCAAGTCTTTTTTCAGTCGAACCGGGCGCTAGACCGGTACAGCTGGACGGAGCGCGCGACAAAGCGGCATAAATACCGATGCCAAATCCACCCGGCGCGTCATGACCTCCCTGCGCTGGGTCATCGCCGCCAGCGCARGGAGTGGGGGGCAATTGATGGAGGGTGATTCGGCCCGACCTCGTAGCACAGGTACACGTGGGCGTGACCTTGCTCAAAAAGTGACTCAACATGACAGCGCAACGAGCGTGAGCACAACTCGGAGGGAAAGTCCCACCGAGTTCAGCACGACAACTCGGCAGGTAGGCTACTCGCCGGAAGCTGCCTTACCCGCACCTCCTCCCCGGGGTTAAGGCACTTCGAGGGGTCCCGAGTTCAGGACGTCCTGACCCCCTTTTAAGACCCGAGCTCCTCCCAATGGACCTTAGGCCACTCCTAGGCAAGAACGCACCGATCCTTCTCCGGACACCCCGAGGCACGGGCACCTTGGGTTAGCTAGCTCAGCATAACCGGCTACAGGCGACCCGTCACTCAAAGGACAGCCCGACTCAGGGTAATTCGCGGGAGAGCAGTTCGACATACCACAGGAGGGCTTCTTGCTCGACCGCCGTACCCAACAAATCTGTGGACAGCAGGCATGTCCCCCTCGCCGCGCCTGCCACCTTTAGAAAGGTGTCCCGCACCTGACAGACACGTACCCTGCAACGACGGCCCTGTGCGTGCCACCTCAGCCCTGCCTGTAACAGTTGTGGCTGCGTAACYGACACTCTTAGCCTTCGTTTTCCTTTTATTTCTCGCACACAATACTAACTTAAGCATCGTAGCGTTCCTGCCGAGAAACCCCCCGGGAGTTCTTCCTCTTCCTCTCGTCTCAGGTACCTCTCAGGAGCCACACGAGCGCCAGTTAGGAGTGACCGGATTGTGCTACATCACTCACAAATGGTTTGTGGATCCCACATTAAGGACATGAGGAACCCACCCATTACTAAAGCCATACGGGAATCATAAGGTGTTTATAAAATGAAAGATAGTACTCAATATATGTGGGGCCCCACATTGTTACTGTAGATGGGTTCCACAAGGCCCAGATCCACCATGGTTTTGGGCCACTATGACCCAACCATGATGGGTCAAGTGTCAAACATGCACCAAGTAGCCCAAATCAGTAATGTGCAAGAACCACCACTTACCAAACGGTCTTTAGGCGGATAATGTCTTCCAATAGATCGACGAATATGTACACTTACCAAACGGTATTTGGGTTGCCCAGAACTTATGTTAAAAGTTCAATGCATCTTTTGACCGTTAAAGCTACAAGAAGATCTTCTCAAAAAAACTTGCCAAATGAACCTTTAATAAGAGGGATTGAAATAATGAGACAAGTGGTACTTCAAATTACATGTCTATCCTTACAATTAAAGAGATACCAAGTTAAAAAAAATTGAAGTATTTAATCAAACAAAAGTTCCACTCTCATCCACACTTTTAATGGTAATATATATATATAGAGAGAAATAAAGTTGACATACGAATATGTAGAATATGTTCCCCGCAAAATGCAAAGATGGGTTAATTTTGTATTAATAAATTTAATTTCCATTTTAAAACAATTTTCAGTTGTAAAGGGTGCAAACACCGATCCCAAAATTGAACATTGATAAATTTTGAATGCAAAGTTTACATCTGTCATTTAAGTGCAAATATACTTTGGAATTTGTGAAAACTGTTATTTTCTTACATAAATGCATTTTTACCAAACGCCAAACATATATACACTAAACCGATATTTGCACTCTTCCCAAACGGAGCCCAAATCGGTCGAGTCAAAAATTAAAAAAAGTTCGTGTTCGAAATGACTCAGTAATTGAACTCGTCCACAAAACGAGTCCACTTCTTTACACGTTTTATTCACGGTATATATTGCTACTGTTTCGTCGCGGAGATCGATCAAGTTTATAGGGTTTGTTTTATCATCGTAGGTGTAGCCCCATCCACTAAAAAAAAAAAAAAAAAAAAAATGGATTTCTCAGAACAATACGCCAATGTGTTCGGCGAACAGTTCGAACAGGACGACCAGAGAGAGAAAGAGGAAGAAGACAGCCACGATTCTTCTTCTTCATCTTCGTCGTCGTCGGCTACTACAGCTTCAAGCCGTTATCTGGTGCCCGGTAAGCTCTTGCCAGATACGTTCCTCTAATTTGGATTGCTTAATTGGTTGGAACTAATTTATAATGGACTTTGAAGCTTGCCCAGTTTGTATTTTTTTCTCAATATTTTATCCTCAGTTTTGGTTCTATTTGTTTGTGTGTCTGTGTTTGGTTGTTATTGTTTTCACTTTTGTGTTTATTTGGAATGGATTATCGTGCATTTCTTCTTTTCTGTTCAACACATTGGAAGATTTAATTTTGATTGTCGGAGCTTATTTTAGTACCCAATTTTCGACGGACGAGAGTAGTTAACTCCATATGATTGTGTTGAAGTGAAAAACATGTTCTAATTTAAAAATGACCTGTTGAACAACTAAATCCATTTGTTGAAATCTAAGATGATTTGACCTTAAGATGAATGTGGTTCCTGTTTTGTGCTATTCTTTGTTACCTCCATCCACACGATATCTTTTTTATCTTCTTCCTCTTTATAATTTCAAGTATGGGTGATATTTGATTGCTTTTTGGTACATTTAAAGAGTTGAGCTGAGCAGGGAGCATATTTTAGCATCTCATTAAAAGCATATGGTTGCATTGAGGTGAGAAGTGCATTTTTCATTTTGCAAACTTCTTTGTGCCATGACTATCATTCTCCATGTGTTTATTGGTGTTATGGTGGTACCTGGGTCTATAATTGAATGGTCCACAGGCATCTAGCATAAACAGCCTGCTGAGAGCTAGCAAAGAACTGGTAGTTGCTAATTCCTATTTACTGTTGTTCTTATTGTTATTATTAGAATTTTGATGGGATTTTAAATGATACTGATAGCTTTGCAACACACTGACATGTGACTAGATGTGAAAAAGAGTTGACACACCTAGTGGATGTGAGGGTAAACAGTTGAAACAAGTGGGTGCCACATCTATTTTGCTTGGAAAGCAAATTCCTGGGTAGACATTTTATGGGGTGTTTTATTGCACTATATTGTTATGTATTTTAATCAAGAAATACTCAGACCTGCACATAAAAGCATGACAATTTTATAAACATTATGAACAAGTAGATTGGACTTTTACAACACTGTTGGGACAAGGCTTAGATGATGATGATTTTACAACATTTTTGCAAAGGGAGTTGATGAGTCCCCTGCCTTTGATCTCTCTGAGCTTTAATGAATTCTTATTCTTTTCTTTGTTGCAGTATTACCTCCAATACGAAATTCTAACAATCATACTAGAGGAACTTTTGGACGTGGACGTTGGCAATCTGGACACCAAAATGATAGGGGGCATGGTATCCTGCCACGACCTGGGTCTTATCATCATAGACAGAACTATGGTTTCAGATCTAGGTTTTCCAATGGACGTCAAGACGAACGTTTTGTTTCTGAGTTGAAGCTCTCAAAGAGTGAAGAAACTCTATCTAGGAAATGCATTGCATTTCAGGAGGTAAATTAGCCTCTCTTCTTTTTTATGGATTAAGGACATCCACCATGACTATTATGTACTGTTTTAGATCTGTGTTTATCTGCCTAACTGATACATGCTGCATAGAAACCAGTTCCATAACCTTATTTAAATGGTTTACCAAACTATTGTGAAAATATATATGGTTGGATATGAACCATCTTTCATAATTCATATTGCATTATTTCAGACGAACAAAACAAGAGGAAAAAAATGAAAAAAGGAAGACGGTCCTTTAGAATATAGATGGGGCTTTAGTTGTGTGATTGTTTATTCTTAGAATAACATATACATTTTGCTGGGAACTTATTTGGTTGGTTCCATCATCTTAAATTGCATTTTGTTCACTTGTAAGGCATTAATAGATCATCCTTATAGACCACCAGAAAGTACTTCATATTATGTAGCTGTGTAATATCTGTATATGTATGTGTGCATACAGACACATTATTATAATAAACTGCTTACACAGTTTTAATGTTTTTCTTAACAGCCTTGTGAAATTGCGTGCTACAGTCGTGTAGAAGGTGGAGATGTTTACTTTGATGACCGTAGTTTGGTAATCCCTCCCAACAACCCAACCTTGTAGCTTTTTTTTGGATTTTCGGTAAATCCAATGTTGCCTATTAACCCATTTATGTCATATTTATTATTTCCTCATTGTCAGAGGCTTTTTAAACGTCTTATTACTGAAGATGTTGGAGCTGATTTGAATGAAGGATTTGAGTCTTTTGTTGAGAAAAAAGGTATATGTTATGTCCATAAAGTGCACCATCTTTTCTAGAATCAAAGAACTCTTAGGGGAAAATTTATCTAGAGATACCTGTAAATTATAACTTCATTTCTCCTGGCTTCTTGGATGAGGGCTGATTTATGCAGGCAATTCTATGTTGTTCTTTCTAAATCAGAAATCAGCTGTCATGGGTTTGGTGATCTTCTCAGTTGCATAAGAGACAAAAATATACCACTTCAAAATATACATTTTGTGGTGAGAAAAACTGTTCTGGTTCTTGCTGCATCTGTCCAGATAAAAATAATATTGCTATTAAGCTTGCTAATTTTTGGATTTGTTTCTATACCTGTTCCACAGACTTTCAGAAATAATCTTAACAAGGTAATATGGACTTTCCTGCATTTTATTAATTCCAGTTTTACTTTTATGTATTGCTGAAAGCAACCAACTTTTATATTCTATGGAAATTAGTGAACAACAGCCCCTGGTTTTCAAAGTTATGTCATATTTCTGCTTTTGTCTTTTCTGTAGATATTGGCTACTGCCTATATTAGACATGAACCATGGGAGATGGGGGTTCATAAGAGAAATGGGGTTGTCTATCTTGATGTGCATAATCTTCCAGAAAGGCCACGAAATGAGCTAGATCGTCGGAGGTACTTCTGCTACCTTATTCAGAAAATTTATTGCTTATGTTTTGATAAAAAACAAGCTGGTCCTAACTCCTAAGGAATTATTGTTTTAAAAATAGACTGGTTGGAAGGTTGTAATAAAACTGAATGGAAGATCCCAATCCATCTGTTTTTTCAGAAAGATATCCAAATCAGCTGGCTTTTATAAACTGTCTGGTTTGAGGCTAGAACCAATATAATAAATACATAAGTATTATTCAAAATTGTGGTGACAGTAAATTATAGAAAAAAGTAGGACTTCTCAATCATTTACATATAGAACATACTTTGTATTCTTGTTTCTTCTCCCACCAAGAACAAGGTGCAGATAGAATCAGTAAAAGGAAAAGGGAAAAAGGAAATCTCAATATTCATGCAAATACTCTATTGATCAGATTTCCTATTCTTGACTATACTCAAATCAATCACATTCACAAGTGACCAAGAAAATTAGGAAAATAAATAAATAAAAACAGAAATTTCAATGAGCAGACAGATCACTACAATAGATAAAAAGGAGTGGCAGCAGAAAAGGTAGGCTAGTGATTTTATATTAAATACATAAATTTATTAGAACTAAAAAAATGATGATTTAGAGAGATCTTTTGTTAAAGTCTCTGTTTTGAGTGTCTTTTTTTTGATAAGTAATAGAATATTTTATCAAGAATAAGATTTAGTAAATGATACACCGAGAAATCTTCCCACAAAGAGGCATGAGATGCAGCCTCAGATCAACACAAAGAGTTATAGTTTAGCCCAAAAAAGCTGATTCCTATGCACCCATTGTTTAGCTACAGAATCTGCTAATCCATTTGCTCATCTCCTTTCCCATTGAAAACTGACTGTCATATATGTGGTTAGTCATTTGAATATTCTCAAAGCCACCCTATAAGACTAGACTACTTTTTCTGGTTCTTTCACCCACCCAATTACCAATTTTGAATCATCTTCAGTTAATAGCTGTTCACAATTCAGTTCTTTTGCAAATTATGCTCCTTAACACTGCTTGGATTTTTGCATTAAATGAACCCTCCACTCCAATAGGACCAGAAAATGAAGCATCAATTAGACCCTCTATGTTTCTAAACACCCCACCAATACTGGAAGGCTCTGGATTGCCTAGACTGCTACTATCATAATTGAACTTGATGACACCTTCTTAGGAGGTTTCCATTCCACTGACGGTTTATCTCTGACAATAGAGCTTTTGGCAACCAATTCCTGGTTCCTCCATAAATCATCAAAGGAGAAGGGAGAAAAGAGGTCCAAATCCTTAGCCTAGTTGATGTCTCTATTAATTATACAGTCCCAAACACTAACCTAATCCCTCTCCTTCTCATAAATAATTCTGGTATTTCTTTCCTCTCAAACAGTCCAAACCAAAGGAGCCCTAATACATTCCACAAAATTCTACCTCTTCTCTTAGGCCACATGAAGGTTGTAGGTTCAAAGAGATTGCTAACTTGCATCGGCATTGACCACCTGCAACCAAAAAGACCAAAAAGCTTCTCCCAAAGACCTACAACAAAAGGGCAGGAGATTAGTAATGTCTTCTTTTTTGCAAGTTGTCCAAAGTTTTTTGAGTGTTTTTTTCTTCCTTTATATAATTTTATTAATTCTTTTGGTGCCTTGTAGCCCTGTAATGTGATTGCTAAATGCATGTCATTGGTCAGACCATATGAATGTTAGCCAAACCATTTTGAATTTAGCTGCTAGCCTTATGGTATACTTTCCGGTTCCGTCTGGTAAGAATGGAAAAGATAAGGCACAGATGGAGAAAGATTAGGAAGAGGTTGGTTTTATAAKTAAAAAAGGATAATTTCTAAGAGAGGAATTGCGGAAGGAAAGGTAATCACAATCACAAATAACATTGAGGGGAAGGAAGGCATCCAGGATCACCTTGACTAATAGAAAAAAAGAGTAATCCAGAATCACCCTTTTTTGAGAGGGTAACTCTAGAAAAGTGCTACATGCTAAAGAAAAAATGGTTTTAAGGGCGATACCATGAAATGGTTTGCATTGCAAATCTAGGGGAGTAATATACATGGGCATGCCCAGTTTATTCTTTACTTTTAGTAGCATTTATGTTATTGGAACTCAATCTTCATGGTTTAGTGAGCCACCTCTTTTTCATTCTTCCCCAATATGTAATTATGTATTAGGAAATGGCATTGAAACCATGGGCTTGAATTTTTTTTTTAAGATCATTGAATGGATTTAAATCTCCAGATTTTATGAAGCTCCCTTGGAAAAACTACATAGAACCCCAAAATGAGGTTGTGCTGGATGCTTTTCATTATATGTATTCTTATCAAATCCATTCCCTTGAGTTGGTTCTCATTTTAAAATATCTCATTACATCCATAACTTCTTTTAATAATTTTTGGTTCAATCAGATGCTACTGGGGCTACTGCTTTGAAAGCCTTGCCACTGAAGATTCAAGAGGACCTGACGGGGATGGGATTCATCATTTAGATGCAAATGTTGAGTTCTGTTCTGTGATTAAAACAAAGTTAGGGGCCCATCGTATCATTATGGGTGCCGAAATGGACTGCTGTGATTCTACTGATGAAGGAAGAAGGTTTTATATTGAGCTGAAGACAAGTCGTGAGGTTGACTCTTCTGTTCTGTAATATATTGTGCATTAGGAAAATGATGTTCTTTTGAGGTGCTCAACCTTTTTAAATCACTTCAAGCTTTCCATAAAGGCATGTCCTCCTGAAACTAAAAATTTCATAGTTCATATTCCTAAACAAATTGCACTGGTTTGTAGCTTTGCACTGTTTTTACTACATCAATGAGTTTCTAGTCTTACTTATACATATACTTATTGCATAATTTGCAACCTTTTTCTCCATTTCGTGACAACAGTTGGATTATCATACTGAGGGGAGATATGAAAGAGAGAAACTGCTGAAGTTTTGGGTATGATTTCCTTTTCTGCTCTAGCTATTGATGTATATATTTTTCTTGATTAATTGATACCCTCTATATTTTTTTTTGCACAGTTTTTTTTTTTTTTTGAGAAAAGGTAACAGAATTTTATTAAATAAAAAGAAGAGTACATGAGGAGATTTACTACAAAAAGGGGGGACCCCCTGGGGATTACACTGGAATCAAGTTGTCACTATACATTACATCCATGTGTGCTCCTATCTTAGCTAAACGATCTGCAATAGAGTTTAGTTCCCTTGGAATTCAAATCAGATTAGGTTTCAGCAGATCCAGAGATTCTCTAGCTTCTGTCAAAAAATGACTTAGTTTCCATGGACCTCCTTTTTCTCTTAACCATTTGATAGTATTTTCTGAATCTCTTGCTATGGTTAAGTTTTGAATGCCCAGATTTTTAACTATTCTGATTCCCGTGAGTGCTGCAACACTTCCGCCTTGGCAGAATCAGCAACACCTATTGGACCACTAAAAGTCCACACAATAATACCCCTTTCATCTCTTACTATGCCTCCTATACCAGCTGCTCCTGGGTTGCCTGACACACTCTCATCAAAGTTTAGAGTTGTCCCACACGGGGAACAGCAGGGGGGGAGATCGGCTGGGAGAAGAGAACCTGAGCACTTCTGTTGAGATCATTTACTGAGAATCCTTTAAACATATCAGAATTAGTAGCCYGAAGATTACAGTGTAGAGTAATTTGAGAGACTAGCTCCTCATGAGATTTTGTCTTGTTTTCAAATAAGTGATTATTCCTTTCTTCCCAAACTCCCCACAACACTGCATGTAGGATTGTTTGCCAATAGATTTTGCCTCTTTTGCTAAGACCTCTGCCCTGCCATTGTTGAATGAAATCCTGGATGCTTTCAGGGGCAACCCAACTATACTCCGCCAACTTTAGGAAGTGGTGCCAAAATTTCTGTCTCATTGCAGTGGAGGAGTAAGTGATTAGTTGATTCTCCTGCACTCAAGCACAATGTGCAGGCATGGGGAGAAATGGAAAAATCTTCGGAAGCTTTTCTTTTGGAGAGGGTCACAAGTGTTGATCCTTTGCAAGATGGCTTCCCACACGAAGAGGCAAACTCTTGTGGGGAGAATACTGGTACAACACGACTTATCAGTCAGCGGGAGGAATGACACCCTTTAAGGCTCTATATGGCAGAGAACCTCCTCCCATATTACCTTGTGAATTTGGGTTGGCTAAGGTGGCAGAAGTAGAGACTCGCCTACTAGCAAGAGACGAGATCCTTAGACTGCTCAAGGCCAATTTGATTAAAGCCTAGCAACGGATGAAGGTCTACTATGACTCTCACCACCGCCCACTAGAGTTTTAGGTAGGTGATTTTGTCTACCTTAAGCTCCAACCTTACCGCCAAGTCTCAGTGATGAGACGGGCTTGGCACAAGCTAGCTCCTAGATATTATGGGCCCTATAAGGTGCTGGAGAGAGTGGGCCTTGTTGCTTACAGATTGGACCTCCCTGCTACCTCGAAGCTTCACCCGGTGTTTCACATCTCACTTCTCAGGAAAGCTGTGGGGAATCATACCCCTATCTCACCCAACTTACCCCAATTTACAGAGGAAGGGGACATTTACACGGAACCTATCAAGATTGTGGATTTCCGATGGGTTCGGCGAGGAGGACAGGTTGTGCCAGAAGAGGCCACTTGGGAACCTTATCTAAGGCTGAATGAGAGGTTTCCCAACCTAGACCTTGAGGGCAAGGTCAGTGCTAAGGGGGGAGGAACTGTTGAGACCCAAACACTCCTTCCAGAACCCACAAGGGGAGTGGAGCAGGCCACCCCCCATTAGCCATTCACAAGGAGACAGAGAAGGCAGGCGACAGAGCCCCAGAATTAGTTACACTCAGAGTTGGTTACTCTGCCGCCAGAGGATATTCCATCCATGTTATCTGCCAGAGTTAGTTACCCAGAAATCAGAGGATATTCCCTCTGATATTACACCTGTAGGCCAGCTATATAAGGCCATCATCATATAATGAAAGCAATGAATGATTCTCCTTTAATTTTCTTCTCCCTGAGTCCAGTTTATTCCTTCCTTCCCTTCTCTTTTTCTCTCCATCTTCTGTTTTAGGAGGTCAAGCCTCCCTCGAAGAGGCTTCCGAGGTGAGCGGAAACTCACCACCATTTAAATTCAATTTTGATGGTGCTCCATTGGGAAGTTGGCACCTTGTGTTTAGAGAAAGTTTGATTGGCTCTGGGGTGGGGTTGGCCTTTGTGAAGGAGGGGAAGAAGACTCTTCAAGTAGTATTACTACAAAAGTAAGAAGGCAATTGAACAGACATGTCTATGTCCTTTAACTTATTGAGCTCTAAAGTTTTTAGAATTTCTAGGTGGCATGGGTTTTGTTTTATGTAATAAGTAGTGCTTTGGTCTGCTGAGACGCATTTTTCCAAGGTTAATTATTATTTTTTGCTAGCCGTTGTTGGTTTACTTTACAGTTTAAACATGCTGGTCATTGAAGCGGCATATTTCGAGACCAAATTTCTAAGTTTKCCACCTCTTTTCATTTAGTGGCGGTTATTTTTATCCTCGTACATAACCTCTAATCGTAGATTTCAAATTTGACATGTCATTTGGAGTCCAGTAGAAATTATGATTTGGTGAAGTTCTAGTAGAAATCTATTGAAGATGTTTTATTGGTCTTGTTACTAATATGCAGTGTGAAATCTGAGTAAATTTCTTGCAAATAATTAATGAGTAGAAAGTACAACAATTGGAATGCTTACCAATCTAAGGTTTTATTGAGTTGACTTGAGTTTGAGATAAGTAGTTCATTTCTATCAAACAGTATCCTCATTAACTTGTGTGTAGAGAGACTGGGCCGAATGGGCCCTAGTACTTGTTTATGTTTTAAGTAGCATCATGTTTACATTTTTTGATAATGGGCCTGTTAACTAGTTTTGTTTTGGTTTTAAATTATTTATGTGCTGGTCGCCCACTTAAGGGCAGAGGTGTAATTAGTCCAAGTTAAGTGAGTTTAATAAAAGATTAAGAGAGAGAGAGGAGGAAACCATTGAACACTCTTCTCCTTTCTCTTCTTCTTCTCCATCTTCTTCTTCCTTCTGCTATAATCACCTTTATTCCTTTTCTTTTGCTGCTGTAATCAGCTTTAATTATCAGATTTGAAGGACAGTTTCACATCTTGGTACCAGAGAAAATTTTCCCTCTTCCTTTTTTGTGTCTTTTTCTTTTCCCATACACCCTTTGATTAGAAGTGTATGGAGAGATGAGCTTCTGATCATTCAGAGGACTGTTTGCCTAGTTGGTAGAGGGTTTGGAGAATTAGAGTATGGCCGAAGAGTGCAATAAGTGGGGTTGTTATTTTTTTGCCCAAAACCCTAGYCGACTAGAAAGATTTCAAGTTACAAGATAAGGAGAAGGATTGAGTATGGCGCTTAGGGCTTGGGAGGTTTCTTTTGATTCCTAGAAGGGGGCGGTTGAGGTTTGAAGAAGGTTGGGAAGCTCTAGTAGGAGCRGCTACCTCTTCTCTCTTTCTTCCATTGAGCTGAGTGCATGAAACCCTAGTATTTGAACTTTTTGGTACTAGGTTGACCTCATTTAGGTCCATAAAGAGTGAAAAACTAGTTTTTTTTTTAATTTTCGTTTGATTAATGGAGCAATTTAGAAGTGAAATGAAGCAGATTCCGGTAACCTATGTTGGTCCGATAGATTCCTTTTTGAGTGGAGCAACTTCAATTAAACTAGATGGAACCAATTATCTAGCCTGAACACAGTTTATATGGATTTATGTTTGTAGTGGAGGTAAACTGGGGTATCTCACAGACAACAAGGAGAAACCTGTAGAGACGGACCCCTACATATGAAAAATGAATGTATGAGAACTACATAGTGATTGGGTGGTTAGTCAACTCTATGCAGCTCCACATAAGCCAATATTACCTCTAGATGGCTTCTGCCAAGGAGATTTGGGATAGTGTCACTGAAACATATTCGCAGAAGTTAAATATTGTGAGAGCATATAAGTTGAAGAGTGATGTGAACAATTTGAGACAGGGGGAGAAGAGTGTAGCTGTTTACTTTTCCATGTTGAAATCATTGTGGCAGGAGATTGATGTTATAGAGATAGTTGTATGGGAGAGCACCAAGGATGCAAAGACATTTAGAAAATTGGTAGAATGAAACATGGTGTTTGAGTTTCTTATAGGACTCAACCTTGATTTCGACATTACTAGGCAAGATATTTTGGCCAAGGATGAAGTCACCCTTGCTCAAGCATACCCTATGGTGAGAAGTGAAGAGAGTAGGCGGCAAGTACAGTTATAAGGATCACCTTCAAAACACTTTGCAAATGCTGGGATAAAGCCGAAAGGGCCGATTGAGAAGAAGGAAGTGATATGTGAATATTACAAGAGACCGAAGCATACTAAGGACACTTGTTGGAAACACCATCCAAGACTTCTCTTGGACAGGTTTCAGAACAACAGTAATAGCAATTTCAAGAAGTGTGGTCAGATAGGGAAGCTTAAAAATGCAAATGTTGCTACAGTGCCTAAAGGTGGAAATAGAGAAAGTGAAGAAAAATCAACTATGGAGCAGTTGACAGCAGTAAAGGTAGAGTTTGAAAGGTATGGGAGGTTACTTAATCACTTAGAGACCACTGTTGCAGCATCTAACTCTTCAGGCAACACCTTGTCATCCGTATTTTCTCACTCAGGTACTTGTGCTTCTGCAAATCATGCTATTGTTTGTGGTGCATCAGACCATATGACTAGTATTAACATCTTTTGTTCATATTAGCTCCTCTCTAGTAGAGAGAAGATATCCCTTGCTGATGGGTCTCTTGCTTCCATCTCTGGAAAAGGAGATATCAAAGCCTCGAACACTCTTGTTTTATCCTCTGTTCTCCATATCCCCAAGCTTAATACCAATCTGTTATCTGTCAGTAGCTTGACTAAATCCATGAATTGTAGCATAACCTTCTTTCCTACTCATT